TCTATTCTGTTCTTTTTGAGGGTTTCAATCTCCTTGTTATGCTCATCGAGGTATTTTTTCAATTTCTGAAATTGTTGATATGACTCGTTTCGGAACTCACTGCTTTTTTTCAGAAGTACCATCTTGAACTCTTTGTCATTTAAGTCGTATATCTCTATTTCTTTAAGCTTACTTTCTGGAGATTTTTCCCTTTCTTTCTGAGATGCCTTGTCATCTTGGTTGTTCATGGTGTTTAATGGACTATTTCTCTGTCTGGGCATTAATGGAAGTGTATTCTGCTCTGAGCTCTTATGTGAAATTGTTGATATGACTCGTTTCGGAACTCACTGCTTTTTTTCAGAAGTACCATCTTGAACTCTTTGTCATTTAAGTCGTATATTTCTATTTCTTTAAGCTTACTTTCTGGAGATTTTTCCCTTTCTTTCTGAGATGCCTTGTCATCTTGGTTGTTCATGGTGTTTAATGGACTATTTCTCTGTCTGGGCATTAATGGAAGTGTATTCTGCTCTGGTAGCTCTTATGCACAGATCCCACACTCAGACAGGCCGGTGTGCAGTTTGGGTGTTTTTGTTGAGTTTTAGGTGTTCAGCTTATTATTGTTTCAAGGGGAGAGATCTGGGGACATCTCTCAACTGTGCCATGTTTCTCCAAAAAAATTCTCACTCTTTTTGAATGCCACCACAAAGATCACAATTTTCAAGAAGTTTAATTAACTTTTGATGACCTCTGAAACCTTGACACTGTAAATAGAAAATTTCACCCTGAATCCTTAGATATTCTGCCTGTTTGGGGGGAATTAGCACATAATTCCCAAAGATTCAGCTCTCTCTACCCATATAATTTAAGCAGAAATGAATGAGATACATAAAAGTAGATACAGATATTGTTTATTAGGGTAAAAGAGTCAAATGGCAATTTGTTGCATTATTTATAACTTATGTCTTAGTATTTCTTTATAATTGAAGTCCTTCTACTAATCAAAATAAAGATTATTCTGTAAACGTTCCAGAAACATTTTAAAAGAATTTAAAATAAAGAATTTTATAGTTATACCTCTAGCATTATAGGTAAATGAAAAGAAAGCCCAAATATAAAAGTAAATAAGTTTAGAAGCTTTCATTTCTCTAAGAGAAATTTCCTATCCACACATTAATACCAGATTAAAGTCTTCAATTTATAGGAACAAATTGGACACCTAATTTCGAGAAGCCCCCAGTAGTAACTGGCTGCTGAGCTCTTATATTTTCCCAATGGTACTCAGATACCAAACACTCACAACTGTGGATTTAATGGGGTGCCATCCAACCAGGTCCATGTCTTTTGTGGATGTGTAATGTTTAAAGCAATCCAAAAGTAGATTCCATCTTGTATATTATTTTGTATGAAATCCTGTGAAAGGAGATCCAAAGGAAATTAACTGAGTTATACTTATTAAAATAGCCTCTTCTGACTTTTCTTCCTAGATTTTAAAAGGTTTTGAGATTTATCTTTCTAATCAGGAAAATCTTCAGAAGGCTAAAGAGGTTTTCTATATTTTTAGGCAAAGAAATAAATATAGAAAGATATTCAAAATGCATGACTCCTGCATACATTATGTAAAGGTATGTTCTGCTAAATGGAATTCATGAGGATGGTGATATAAACAGCAACTGGTGAAAGAGTGCAAACAAGATGTGAAGCAAAAACTAGGAAATAAGTCTTCCGAAAGAAACAGCAACTATACATGGACTGCTTTGTCTACCAAGGTGCAGTCTTGAAGAAAACTGGTGTCTGTAGTGATACTACACTCAAATGAAACTAAAGAGCCCCTGTCTTTCCTTCCAAGATACTACGTATATTGCCGGATATTGGTAATGCTTTTGATGAGTATCTCAAATAACTCCAAACAAGTAATGTGGAAGGATGGCATGGATATCCCAGCTTTGAAATTTACTTATAGTATAAAATAGGCAAGTGTATACAATCTGTCAAGTTCTGCAGATTCCTCTTATGGAAATGGGGAAATACTGTCTGTGTCATAAGATTATAGTGAGTAATAAATTATATAATATTTGTAACGTGCCTACTACAGTGCCTGCCATATGGCAGGAATTCAATAAATGGAAGTAATTATTAGTACTATTCATTGATTATAAAATGTATCTATTTTTCCCAGTTTTGAAAGGGCTACTTTTCATAGCAAATTAGCTCTTACCAGTTCAGCCTTGTCTTGGATCATCAAGAGATGTGATTTCATTATTGAACAGAATTTTTGGGTATCGATCCATGATTCAAAATTTTTAAAAAATTTATAACATTTCCCTTTCTCCTGTACCCAATCATTAGGGCATAAGTTTAGTCTAGGGTTTGCTGAAATGGAAAAAAATGGAAGAAATACAAATGAGAACAAGGTTTGAATATCAAAAATAATTTTGCATTAATTTTATAAACTGTTTTCTTAAAAGTTAAAGATTTTACCCCACTTTTAAGAAATGAGCTCCCCTTCCACTGATAAACAGTCTTTAGAAGAGGTAAATGCAAGAAATAATAATAGTTATTATTTATTAAAAATTACCTACTACGTCAAGTAATTTTCTGAATTCGTTATGCACATGAGTATATGAAATATTTTTCCTTATAAAAAATTTATGAGATCCATAAAATGATTAACTCCATGTTCTTCTCTTTGTAAATAAACATACTAAAGTTAAGGTTAAGTAAAGTATAAACTGAGAAACTAAAGTAAAAGTTAAGTGACTTACTCAAGGTCATGTAACTAATAAGTGGGGCAATGGAAAATTTAAAGTAAACAGAGAGTCCAAAAGCCATCAAGAAAAAACTGTACTGGAAAAATAAAATGTCATTTTCAGAGTCCCTTTTAGATTCAGAAACGTATTTTATAACACACTCTATCAGTAACTTTGTAAAACAACTGTTCAACATGTCCCCAGTATCTAAATGCCTCAATAACCACCAGACTTATTTTCATAAAAAGAAAAACTTGAAGTATGTATTAAAATAAACCTATAATAAAAAAATGGGTACATGCAGGTTTCAAATGAACTAATTTTTCAAATATTTTAAGCTAAATAGTAGGTACATAAGTATTGATTGCATTCTACTTAAGTTTTTGTGTATCTTAAATATTGCATATTATTTTTAAAATATCCATAAATTTGTGTACAAACTTGTCTGATCTGCTTATGTTAAATGAGATGAATGTAAAAATATAAACTACAAAATGCTCTATATGAAAGTTAATTATTACCATTAGCATCTATGGGTGCTCTGAGGGAGAGAATATGATGAATCTCATCATTTGGGGGAAAATATCACATAATAAGTTTCTGTTTTGAATCAGCAAAGTATTCTGATTCTTTACAACTCTCTTCTCAGGGCATTTTATTTTGTAAGTAATAACAACAAAGTGGTCATTGAAATAGCATATTAATAAACTAAATTTTATCTTTATTGACCAGGAAAACTAATTCAACAATACACCTGAGACCAAAGTTGGAGACAAATTTTAGTTTTACTGAAATTTAGTATCATAAATTATTAACAGAAATAAATAACTAGGTTCCCATGAATATCCAGAGGTTTACTATGATATGCCCTTTGCTATGGTAGCATTTAGCCTCTGAAATAAATTATTTACTTCGCTCTTCTTTTTATTTGATTAAAAGTCACATACCACAGCAATAACAAAGCCCAGGCTCTGTCAGTACAGTAAAATGGAAAAAAATTAATCTATTGAAAATTATAGTTATTTAGAGTGTGGAGAACTATTATTGATATGCCAAAGATAAGACAGAGATAGTCAACAAATAATTCTTGAGTATCATAATGCTGGGACTCACATAGAAAGAAGGCCTCCAAGTGGTTGAGAAAAGCCTAGAAGAGTGCATGTGTGGGGAATCTAGAAATGGGTTTAAAAATGAAGGACTTTGTTGACTTATTAAAAGAGATGTGATATGAAGACTAAAGACTAAGGCAAAAGGGAGATCATAAACACGCATATTAGTTATATTTTAATATTGTATTCTATCACTCTTATGACCATCAATATTTCATTACAATACATTTATTAATTGTCGAAACTTAACGTAAGGACTAGAAATATATTTTAGTATAATTCTTTGTATTTAAACTGTGCAAAAGTTTATAGTTTGGAGTAGGTTTTTACTAAAAAATTAGTTGTAACTTGTGAGAAAAGATTAACTTTTTAACTCTACAATCAGCATTTATAAATAAGAAAATATAGGCACTCTAATTTTATGATGAACAGTTTACAGAATAAAAAACACAAATATTCAATGCATGTGATTTTATGTTTAATTTCCCTATTACATAAGAAATTCAACTAAAAACAATGATATGTTTGTTTATCAATTATATTAACATGTATAATCTGAACTGTGTGTGTGTGTGTGTGTGTGTGTGTGTGTGTGTATTAAAAGGGTTCATTGGATAAGAAGTTGCAATGGAGTAATAAGCATTTGAAGGAGATGGATTAGATCAGCCTGAAGAAAAGTTCAAAGTTGAGAGAGTCTGCTGCTTTTTATTACTTTACAGAAGTTTGTTTTGCTGGAGTCTAGAGTACAAAGAAGAGTACTGTGTTGTGAGAAATGAGACTGCTATTGTAGAAAATCAAGACTCAGAGGATGTTGTGGAAATGTTAAAGTGCTTAGATTTTATTCTAAGGACTGTAGAAAGTCATTGCAGAGTTTTAAGCACAGGAAAGCCCTGGCCAGCGATCTGTATTTCAGAATGATTCTGATGGCTGCAGCATGGAGAATGAATAGAGATCTACAGAACGTTAGTAGGTTAGAAACACCCTTCTTTGTGAGACATACTGATCTCCAAATGCCGTACAATTCAATCTGTTGACATTATAAATTTTAAAGAATAATCTAAAACACTTTAATTGCTTATTGTAACAAATAATAATTATAAAAACAGCAATCACTATCGTATAGAAGTGTTACCAAATAGATAAAAATAGATACTACAAAATGCTAGTATAATGTCCTTTGGTAGTAAAGTAGAAGGCAACCATATCAACTAAGCTACTGTAGGCAAATGCACCTCAGTTTTCCACCAAATCATCTCCAACTCTAAAGAACAAGGAACTTGTTCCTTAAGTTCCTACACACAGTTTCCTGAAAAATTGATTTCATCTTAAATTTTCATGCAGTTATTACATTCTAACTGTTAATGTACTTGTGAGTTTGATTTAGTATGCTACTATCTGGATTACTTTTCATCAAATAAAATAAATATTCCAGAAATATGACTCCACTGCTATCAAATAATTATTATCATGTCATCCTTAACTTACACTTCACCTCCTGTCCACATCTTACCTTTAGAGATATAATGCCTCATGCAAGAGCTACTCTAAAGCTCTGTTAAGAAAGATTTTATCAGTTTAAACCACATGTGGTAGTGCTATTTGACTCTATCTTTACTATCGCTAACACTGACCATGAGATTCTTAAAACAAGGACTTTTTCTTAAATTCTTTGCCATCTCATCAGCAGATCAAGTATTTTGTATACGCTTAATAAGTATATGAAGTCAAATAAATAAATTAAGAAATTGAAAAATGAAAAGAGATAGTCAGTGATGTGTTTGTTACCTAGCAAGGGAATTACAACACTTAAAGTAGCGGCAAGTTGGCTGATAGAGACTGGTATGTGAGAAGAGTTTTAGCACCAGTAAGATGAGCAAGTTGAGAGTAAGTATCTTCTAAGCAGTGAACCTGAACAGATTAACAAGAAGCAGAAATGAAGGTAAAAAAGTGAAAATAAGAAAATCATCTTCAAAATACTGAAGGAGGTCTAAATACGCCAGCCCAAGATATTCCCTTTCGGTATAAGGGTTATTTTAAGCTGAAGACATCTGAGATTCAGCAGATGCTCCTCTGAGCTCCCCTTACTTGACTAAAATTAGAAACTTCTGAGGAATGAGGCTGCTATAAATTTCCTCTTTTGTGTGGTTTATTTCTCCGGGAAAAAGACTCACCCTAAATGCCTTCTCTGGGGAAATTTTATGGCCACGAAGAGGGAAAGACTACAGCAAGTGCATAAACAGACGCTACAAAAAATTTTCTTTCTTGTTTTTCTCCTTAAAAAAAAAAACCACTTGTCTTTTTTAATGAAGTATGTTTTCCCACAGAAGTAATTTATTCAACCTCCCTTTTCCCTGCTAAGTTAGATGTATAAGCCTTTAACTGTAACCATTTTGAGCTAGCTACTTCTTTTGTTAGCTCTCTAGTGCATACAAGTAAATGTTTTTCTCCTGTTAATTGTGCTTTTGTCAGTTTAATTCACAGGCTCTCAGGTACTAAACTTAAGGATGTAGAGAAAAAAGTTTTTCTCTCCTACAATACAATGCAATAAAACCACTTACTTGCGAAGTTTGTATTTCCCAGCTGTTTCCTGGGAGGAATATTCATACAATCGCAATCTTTGGTTCCATTCTCACTACCAAGCATCTTCATACTGTAGTTATCACTGAAAGAATGTATTCTTAGGTGACACACTGAGAAATAAAGAAAAGTAGTAACACTAATTAGATTTCTACAAATATAAGACTGTGCCTTTTAAATATCCATTAAAATGAAACTGCAAGTGAATGCACAACCTGCTGGTTGAGAGGAAGTCTATTTACAGCATTCCAACCCTCTAATTTGACAAAGGATGAATAAACTTATAGACAGGAGATTTCCACTTGTAAAAAGTAGAAACAAACAATAAAAACAAATTATTTAAATAAATTTAAAATATATTTAAATTTGCATCTGTTTAATATGATAGGTTAGAATTCTGTGTGATCTTGAACTAATTATGAAGACTGTTTCTCATTTTTTTCATATATAAAATGGGGAAATGTTTAACAAACTTAGAGTTGTAAGGCTAAAGATAATGTATATAAAATGTTTAGACAAACTTCTAACATGTAGGTCACAACAAATAGAAACAATGACAGACATAGTTATCTATGGCTATTATTGAAGTAGAGCTCATTTTAGAAATAGATCTTAAATTTAACTGAGCCTTAAATTTTCAAGCAGCTCATAAATTTTGTCTAAACTTCAAAATATCAAGTCACTTATAAAGTCAAAAAGTTTTATTTAAAGGGACAATCAGTTTTTATAAAATTAAGCGCTTTCACCAAAATACGAAACTTCACTTGATAGAATTGTGACTGCCAAGCCCATGCCATTTACCAATTAATTAAAATTATAAACAAAATAGAGTTTGTAAATTAATGAGCTTATTGCATTTTCTCTACTGGGGAAAACTACTAATTATTAATGAAATCATTAACTGTGTCATTAATGAAATCATTAACTGTGTTATTTAATGCCAATGTAATAAAATGATGAAAGAGAACATCAGGCAAATGTGAAAAATGATTCTGAAAAAAGTGAGAGAAATAAAAGTAAACTCCAAAAGAAATATGTTAATTTCTATAGTTGAAAATACACCTTTCGATCTACTCACCCCAAAGAGTTAGTCCTATCACTGTAGCAACAAGTATAACCAGTGCAATGCTGGTCAGTCTCAGAGCAGTCAGATGCCACTTTGGACATTCAGGGTAATCTGTAATGATTAATTTTTCTTTCTGAAACATTTCAACATTTAAAATGACCTTGAACATGTGTCATAGGAATGTAAATTCTGAGGATAAACATTGTGGTAGGTTGGAGAAGAAATCTACCATCTCTGTTTAAATTATCTTGACATGAACACATATTTAATTATCATTAAAGAATCAGATTTATCAATTCTAAATAAAAGGTCAATATGCTTTATTTACTATTTATTTAAATATCTTTCTTATGTTAACACTTCTGTTCCAAAACAATCAAATGGGAAGATATTAATTGATTAACTGGCTAGTCAAAACATTTCCATAAAAATTTGTCATTTGCCTTTATTTACATTTTGACTGAATTACACAGATAATATTCATGGGATTGAGGACAGGAAGGTAAAATGTAAGTGGCACCAAAATAATGGTATAATAATAAAAATAAGTGTCTAGTGGAGAAACATAAGGAAGATCAGGTAGTCTAGCTATCTTCCCAAATGTTGTTTGAAATAGAAATTGTATATTTATATCAATTCATGAAACAAAACTCAGATGCTGATCTTTATAATTATATACTTTGCTTCAATAAAACAAGCATTATAACACCTTCACAATTTTCAACCCAAGTCATATCAAATCTGATCCATTACATTCCATTGAACAGTATTTAGAAAACTGTATGCTAGGAACTAGGCTGGATGTGAGAGTTACAGAGACAGGAAACCATACAATCTGGTGCAGAGACATCTATGTAAACATATTATTTCAAGATAAGATAACAAATTTTCTGAAAAATAGACTCTAGTTTACATTCTTAAAAGTTCTCATTAAAACCTGGGATTAAAAAACCCACAGAAAATCCTAGCTATATAATTTGTGGTCTAATGGAGAGTTATAGATTCCTACCTTTGCGTGCCCACTTGTGTTGGCAATGATGGGGATGTTTTGGTGGCTTCTGCATCATCGATCTCTCTGGATTTTGCACTGGACCAAACATCCTATAAACAGAATAATCCATCTGAATTAGATGGAAAGAGAGACATTACCAGATCAAAAGCTGAGTCCCTGTGTAAGAACTGTGGCACTGTATATGTGTTCATGAGAGATTTGATCTGTGGTTTTACCTTCTTTTAATGTCTTTATCAGCTTTCAGTGTTATAGTAATGCTGGCTTCATAGAATGAGTTACATTGTGTGAGTTTTGTGTATTTCCAGGAATTTGTTCATTTTATCTATCAAACTTGTGGATATAAAGTTATCTGTGGTATTCTTATGTTATCTTTTTAATGCCATAAATTCTCTTACTTCTGATATTGGTACTTTCTCTCTTTTCTCTTTTTTCTTAGCCTGACTAGAGCTTGATAAAGCTTATTGATATTTTCAATAAAGCTTATTTAAACAAATCAGGTGCTTTCTATTCATTTCTGCTCATTATTTGTGCAGTGTTCCCTGAGGCTCTTTTGTACATATAGGAATCTCGGCTTGTTAAGAATATTCTTCAGTGACTCAGCCAATCATGTGAAGGGTGTTTTGTTTGGGAGTTTTGTTTTGTTTGTTTGTTTGTTCGTTGGTTTTGCGAGGTCCAAAGATTGTGATCGCCACCAAACATCTGAAGCATACGGTTATTCTTTTCCACAACAAAAAAGTTAGGAGAAGAATAACCGTATGCTTCAGATGGAAATGGAAAAAGGAGAAGAAAATGGAAATGTGAAAATAAAAATAAATTAAAATCACTTTAAAATAATAGCGAAATGCTTTTTCATTTTTCACACAAACCATCAAATGTTTACACCTTTGGATTGACATATAGAAGCATAATAACGATGTTTTTGCATATTAGACAGTTATTTCTATCTTTGAAATCTATTTTTGAAGAAAAACTAAAGCAATTACAGAAGGAGTGAATGTGGAATAAGAGAAATTAAACATGTCTTTTCTAAAATAAAGAAGACTGGGAAAAAAGATTGAGGAGACATATTTGGAAAAAGAGTAATCTCATAAACTTACTAAAAACATCTGCTACCTATTTTTTTTCGATGAATACAAATTTACAACACACAGAAAGAATGACTGTTTTTAATTATTGGCTTACAGTGAGGAAAGATATAGGATGATACATAAATCTATGCACTTCTTTTTACTTAATTGAAAATGTTTATCCAAATGTTGACATATTTTGTAGCAATTTGTAGTTTTAAGGAAAAAAAAACTGCATTTATAAGTCTCAAGTCAGAACAAGCAATTGAACTATTAATTATTTTTTCCTGAGCAAACAAGTACAAATTATCTTAGTTGTGTTCTCTGATCATTATCTTCTGCATGATAATTATGTGGTCATTTTTGAAACAATACTAATTCTGAATGAAAGAATCAATTTCTGGAGTATCTGAGAAAGGAAAAACTAGTCAGAGATTAAGTACAATTTCTGTGAAAAGGAAAGATAACATCTTCTGTAACCTAATTTTATTTCTACCTGATGATCAGAGAAAAGCAGAGCTTAGCCACAAGGTATAGAAACTTTAGTCACTGCAACTGACCATACGTTGTGAAAACTTCCTCTGTGTGTGTGTGTGTGTGTGTGTGTGTGTGTGTGTGTGTTGATAAAAAGTTAACACGATTGAAAATAAACCATGAGCTAATAGAACTAAAACATTTTTAGGGTTGTGCCTCATAATCACGTGCAAGAACAAAAGAGGAAAAATAAAACTTTAAGATTTCCACATAAGAAAATACAGCTTTTCATTCAAACAAATACCTATAATATTTAATCAGTGTCTATCATGTGCCAGGCATTAATCTTGAGCACTAAAACTACAAGATGAAAAAAACTGAGTTCTCATTTTAAAAGAATTAGCATATTAAATTGACAGAGAGATAGGCTAAAAATAAACACCTCCCAAAATGAGAGTGCCTGAGTGGTGGCATGAGTTAAACATGATTGGAACATGAAGGAGTATTCCTAAATCTGATGTAGGGAATCAGGAAGAGATTACAGAGGAAATGCTGTGGCAGAAACAAATTGTTTAAAGAATGTGCCAAACAACAACAAAAAGTTAGTAAATCATTTTCAATGTAAATAATATTAAAATATAAAGTTCGTAAGAATAAATCTGAAAATAAAAATGCATGTGCCAGAATGAAAGAAGGAAAAATAATAAAAGTTTAATGCTGTGGTAAGCAGAATAATGTCCCCTCTCCCCTCATTGTGTCCACACCCTAATTCCTGGAACCTGTGAATATATTCTCTTCTGCAGTAAAAGGGAATTTGCAGATGTGATTAAAGTTAAGGGTCTTGAGATAAGAGATTATCATAGATCAACTAGGTGGGCCTAATCTAATCATTTGAGTCCTTGACAGTAGGTGAGGATAACAGAAGAGATGGAATATAAAAATAATTCAAAAAATCCAACCCACCGTTTCTGGTATTGAAAATGGAGAAAGGGAACAGTAAACCCAGGAACGCAGCAACTTCTAAAAGCTGGAAATGGGCGTGGTTCCATAGTGTAGCGGTTAGCACGCCTGCTTTACATGCAGGTACTGGGTTCGCACCCTAGTGGAGCCACAGTCCATGGTCTACAGCCATGCCACCCTGAACAAACCTGATGTCTGATCACAGAAGCTAAGGAGGGTCGGGCCTGGTTATTACTTGGATAGAAGACCACCTAGGAAGACCAAGTATTATAGGCACAAATAATAAATAAAAATAAAAGCTGGAATGGCCCTCAACTCATAGAAAGTAAGAAAAGAGAGACCTGCTCACCAAAATGGTGGCATAGGAGATGCCAGACTCAGTCCTCCCACAAAAATCAACAATTAGCTCTCTACTAACAAAAAACAGTTCTGGGAGAGATTTAGAGTTCACTTAAGAAACTTCAGTAACACTGTGGGTGAAAAAAAACAAGAGAATGACTCCATAAAAAGGGAAGGAGGACCCCCACAGCACTCACCAAGGACTATGTAGTTGTCAGTGCCGTGCACCTCAGCAGTCTGATGAGGTGTTCTACCAAACATTTAAATTGCATCATCCTATTCTCCAGGCCAGCATTACTCAGCACCAAGAGGGAACTCCCCGGCTAGAAAGAGTTCTCCTTGCTGGGAAACAGAGTGGAGCGAGCAACCTCCTTTGGTTTCACCTCAGCAGAGACCAGCTGAAGCTGTTCAGATGGCTAGGAACAAGGAAGAAAGGGGGCGGGGGTGCATGCTACTAGTATCCCACACAACAGAAGTGACTGTATTTCCCAGCGATCTTCTCTGCAGAGAATTCCAGCAGCTTTCACCACTGAACGGAACAAAGGTCAGTTCAGCCACTGCAGACTCACTAATTTTCATCCCACAGGTATTTGTGATCACAAGTGGAGCTTTCCAAGTGCCTCCCAGCTCTGGCTCCTGGCTCCCTTTTCTCCTCTCTGACCCTGCTAGACCTCAGGACCAAAACTGACACAGGAAGCCAGCCCAGGCCTCTGTGGCTGCCTGAGGGCAAAACACCAGCCCAGACCTCCACGGCTGTCTCTCACCAATGTGAGTGCACTTGGAACTAACCCCTCCAGCTGTGCACGTGAATACTACTAGTCCAACTTCCATCACTGGCTCCCATAGGTGTGGCAAGATCCTACAGCCATGTCAATGCATGTAAATGCTCACAGCAAAGCTGTTTGTGGGCCCTGATCTGACTCTGACTCCTGTCACTGTCCTGCACCCCAGAGCTCAACAGCAGCTAAACTCTCCAGCTGTATACTTGCATTCCCCCAGCCTGAATTTCAACACCATCCTCCACCACTGCGCACCAAGGTGAGACCCAGTAGTGCATGCCAAGGCATCCGCAACTGTCAGGATACTCCCACCACTATGTACGTGTCTGCAACTGGCCCTGTCACTGCACAGGCACCTGCAGATGGCCCCTGCAGCCAAGTGTGTATACACCGCTGGCTATTGTCACAGTTGCTGCTTGCCCTGGTTCCTATTTACTAGACCTGGAGACGCCGTTGAGGACCCCCACAGCACTCACCAAGGACTATGTAGTTATCAGTGCCATGCACCTCAGCAGTCCGATGAGGTGTTCTACCAAACATTTAAAGAAGAGTTGATACCAATTCTTCTCAAACTATTCCAAAAAATTGAAGAAGGAATACTCCAAACTCATTTTATGAGGCCAGAATTATCTGGATATCAAAGCCATTTAAGGACACTACAAGAAAAGAAAACTACAAGCCAAATTTCTGGTGAATATAGATGTAAAATCAGAAAATATGTTTGCAACATTCACAATGGACAATGGACTAGCATCCAAATATGTTTTTTTAAAAAAAACACCAATAAGAAATAGGATATAGACTACCCACAAGCAAAAATGGAGAAAAAAATTTGAAAATGTTTTCACAATGAGAGGTTATCCAAATAACTAGTACATATGAAAAGGTGATCATTGTCAGTCATAATCAGAAAAAAATGTGAACTTCAACTACCAAGAAATGTAAGTATATAGCCTTTAAATTGACAAAATTTAGCATGTTCTGACATTATCAAATATCAGAGATTGTGAAGCAATAGCAACAATAATCTAGCATGGGTGGAAATGTACAACCATTTTAAACAACAGTTTCATATTATCTAACAAAATAGAAAATAAGCATTCCCAAGGAGTAAGAAATTCTATCCTTAGATCTTTTTCCTAGAGAAACTAGTGAAGAACTTGTGATTATATTCACTAAGATATATGTAAAGAATGTTCATTGTAGCTATTTTCGTTAAAACCCCAAACAACAGGAAATACTGCAATTGTTCATCCAATGAAAATTAATTTAATTACTACTATAGTAATTAAAATTAATAATTTATGTAGCTACACCTGACAACAAAATTGAATCTCATAAACACAATATTGTGTGAAAGAAGAAAGTCATTATATATATACATATTCTGAATTTTATTATAATTTCCCTGACTTGTTTTTCTTGCACATTTTTATATTTTGACTGCGTATTATTCAAAATTTTGTTTTTAACTTTATAAATTTAACTATATATTCATAACACTGGTAAATGTGGGATGAGGCACAGTTAATACAAAGGCACAGAATGGAAAAAATAAAGTATATACCTAATCATATGTAATTATTTTAGCAATTTCCAAATCTAATTTTTTTTTTTTTTAAATAAGTCATCTTAATATGTACTGGAAGTCTTCAATATACAAGCTTAATTAGTATTGGAAAAAGGCCACTGATATAAACTGACCTAAAAGAAGGACCAACATTTCATAATAGGTGGTGGGGAAAGGGAGTTAAGTAAGCTTTACTATAAAAAAAATAAAGCAAAACATTTTTGAAAATAAATGTATCATATACTTTAAAAAATTAAGCTACAATTGTGTGTTTTGCAGTAATTCTGAGAGTTGAGATTTTTGGAGAGTCATTACTTTTTAACAAAATTTTATAATAGAAAAAAGCACAATTTTACTTTGGTTTTTGTAAACTGATCATATAACATGTCATTTAAAAAAATTAATAGTTTCCATATTTTAGTTTTACCGAATGTCTCGTAATACTTCGTTTTTCAATTCATTCTCTCCTATGATATCTATCAATCTCCTTAGTATCCCTATTGATTTCCTATATTTAAATCATTAACTTGTGCAACTTGGATATTCTCTCATTTTTCAGAGTTTTTGCTTGTGTTTTAAACAAATCTATCACTTTCATGGCTCTCATAAAACCTTAAATATTTTGAAAGCAATTTTAATTTGCATAGTACATTATATTTGCACTATATTATCAGGTTTTAGAATCTGATAGCTGATGAAAGACAATTTACAATGTCTTTGATATCATGACAGAGATAGAGGCAAGAGAAGGTGAGGGGGAGCCAATTTTGTGTCAGTTCATCAGTGAATAATTTTGCTTCTATTGCTTTTAAAATTTATTGTTTTCTTACACAACCTCATAACGGCAGTGATTCTGTGAATGGAAGTTTGAAGAATGATGCATAATATGTTTAAGTTATAGATGCTTTAACACAATTCTTAAATGTTCTCATGCTTTAATGTGATGTAATCAAGACAAACATCACTATTTCCACTTGATACTCAACTTAAATATGTTACATGATTTGTTCAAAGTCACAGAATTATTGAATAATATAGCCAAGACTTGTATGCAAATCTGTTCTTATCAAAGTCCTATTTAATGTATTATGCTGCCTCCCAGTGGTACAAATTTATATTCACAGTTATCTGTAAATAAAGTTACATTATTTCCCTTTCTTGAAGATTTGACAATATTGAAGATCTATTTACTTACTCATAGTTAAGGTATTTTTTTCCCCGCATACCAGGGGTACTCTTTTTCAATATTTGCATCTTTCTGAATTTATGTGATTTTATGCTTTGGACATGCAAGGAAGAATCAGATATATAAAAAGTTAACATGTACAGAGTATTTTATCCCAGGCATTGTACTATGTGTTAGGTCCAGGAGGTCCCTATCCCTAACTCCATAGTGTGAGAACTAGACTCCTCCCTTACCTTTGTCTGAGAGGGGATCTTTTGTCAGGGTCGGCAATGCTACATGCTCACCTCCCGTTTCACTGGACTTTTGCTCCCTTCCCCACCAGTTTACCCGCCTGAAATATTCCCACCGAAAAAGCCTGCCTCAAGCCCCATATATAAACTTAAATATAAGTTTCAGGTCCCCTCACGTTCAGGGCTGACGCCATATTCAGCTCAGCCCAGTTGTCACTCTGCTACAATAAACTTTACTTAACCCTTTTTTGGCCTTTTGTGTTCTTCCTTCGGGGAACCTAACACTATGTACCCTAAAAGTTATAGAGCTATTATTATTATTACTTTAGTAGTAAAATAAATGAATCTCATAGAGTCTGTGTAACTTGCCAATATTTCTAACTAACAGTGGCCAAGCCAAGGCTCACACTTGTTCATCTTCAAAGCCCATCCTTGTAATCATCAGTTACACTTCCTACTATAGTTTTTCCCTAATTAGAATTTTTTGCCGAGGCTCCATCTTTTCACTGTCTGTTTTCTGCTTCTCCAATACAATCTCTTCTGACTGATCATAAGTGCAGATATTTTGACATCAATCCCTAAATAATAATACCTTGTCCAGGTGCTAATTTGTGTAAGCATAACAAATGAGCAAAACTAATTAATGCCTATGGTCTATAAAGGTGCCACTTTTTCACAGAAAGTAACCAAGAGCAGCAGTCCCTAACCTTTTTAGTACCAGGGACCAGTGCTCCTATGAGAATCTAATGCCTGAGGATCTGAGGTGGAGCTGAGGCAGTGATGCTAGCACTGGGGAGCAGCTGCAAATACAGATGAAGCTTGACTCGCTGGCTACTTACACCCTGCTATGTGGCCTGGTTCCTAACAGGCCATGGATTGGTACTCATCTGCAGCCCGTGGGTTGGGGACCCCTGACCAAGAGCTTGTTCTGAAATATTTATTGATTTACATCTCTACTCTTGACAAAGAAATTGATAGTCAAACATTCTTCTTTAAATGTTTTAATGTCTAAATCCCAACCACATTTCAGAGACTGTTGTTCAATATAGTAGCCATTAATCACATGTGACTAATTAAATTTTAATTAATTATAATTAAATAAAATGAAAAATCTAGCCACATTTCAAGTGCTCAATAGCCACATGGGGCTAAAAGCTACAATTTGGGGTGCACTGACATCATTGCCAATAGTTGATTCAATAGTGCTGGTCTAGAATAAAAATAGTTTTCTTCCAGATGTCAAACAAAAGGAGTTCCAGCTAATTCGTCCGCAAATAATGAACTCAATACATTTTAACGCAAATAATAATATAATTATTATTATAAGCAATAGTCCTCTTCAGTGTGTGTGGTTGTAAAGGTGTAGGCGTTCATAATCCAGGCAAAGCAAGACTGGATATGACAGGGTTTAAAGAGACCCTGAAAATAGGGGAGCAATGCCAGAAGTCTATTTATTTTTTAATATTTTACTGAGATCAAGTAGATATCTTTAAAGTAAATAGCAGCACATGTCTAAAAATGACAGAGACTTCCAATGTAAGGTAATTTTTTCCCCAACCTCATGTTAAAATATGCAATACATATGATTTGAAGAAAGACCAAAATGGTACCATTTCAAATCATATGTATTGCATATTTTAATGGACAAATTAAGTTTCAGAATGAATCTGTCAGAATATGGAAGAAATTTCTACAACCATAGCAACTGATGGGATAGAATTAATCAAATTCCTTAAAGGCCAGTAGGAGAGCAAGAGAACTGGGAAGGAGCTAAAATGTAGCCTTTGAGCACACCTCCGTCTCTAGAGCCAGAATACAGAATTCAGCAAAAAGTCCCTTTGCATCACTTTTGGTTTGGAGCACCAGCATTCTTAGAGTCCTGCCAACTGCAGTAACACAAGGATTGGGCCTCTGTGCCTGGCTTGCCTCCTCTGAACTGAAAGCACACTTCGTGGTCTACTGGCCTCAAGTAGACCTATGGAGAGGGATAGCAGCATTTGGTGTAACTGTCAAGTACTAGAAACTATAAGATCACTGTGTGATCAAACTGTTCTCCGTTTTTATGTTAGAAATAGATATTCTGAAAATTGCCAACTCTTTAATGAAAACATCTGAAAACTGAGGGCAATCTTTTCAGATTTAATGGTATCTTGTTTCATAGCAGGATTGATCTCCATTCAAAGATGAGGAAACAGAAAGATGTGTATTTTATGAACACATCCCTTCGTACAGAAGAAAAATAATGTTATATGATGAAAGAGAAGAAGCATATTACTCTGAAAAATGTTTACTCCAGTTAGCTTTCCAAATTCAAAAACACAAGAAATGTTCAAAACAGTTGAAATAAAGGGAAAAAAAACAGCGAATTTTTCAAAGATAATTCTGAAAAGAGTAACAAAGTAGATTCAATATTCCCATCAGATTTT